GCTTAAGAGAACCTCATTGCATGAAAACAATAATACAATGTTAGTTGTGTATAATTGATAATGAGGTTTACATTAAGATTTATTTTACGACCTTGATCTTTTTTACATACTCACAAGCTGAGGACAGAGGTTGTTCTTGTGACCTTATTCAGAACCTTGCAGGGTGAGGCCCTGACTCGGCTGGTCCGTAGGAACTATCGCAATATATATGTTAAATAATAATTCTTCTTAACCTGGTGTTTTCTTTTTCCTGACTTAACAGTGACAAGACCACATATGCATGGCTAAGCAGTAGCATTAAAACAAATGCCTGTCATACCCATTCGGGCTTCCACTCTAAATAGTTTTAGCCACTCCACTTCATGGTCCTCCTCCATCTGCATCATAACTGGATTAGGGTTTTTTTGCATGTGTGTTATAGCAGTGGGCTTTTTCATCAGTACAGTACTACATTATTATTTTACAAGTGAAAGTGAATTGACTAAGCCCTGTTCTACACTGGGGTGGGGGGATCGATCTAAGTTATGCAACTTCAGCTACGTCAACAATGTAGCTGAAGTCGACGTACTTAGATCGACTTACTGTGGTGTCTTCACCGCGGTGAGTCGACTGCTGCCGTCGACTCTGCCTGCGCCTCTCGCGGCCCTGGAGTACAGGAGTCGACGGGAGAGGGCTCGGGGGTCGATTTATCGCATCTAGACTAGATGCGATAAATTGATCGCTGCCTGCCGGTCCGGCGGGTAGTGTAGACATACCCTAAGAGTCCAGTTCTATTAGCATCATTACCATCACAAAATGGCAAACCCAATGCATGAGACCTCTGTCTGCTAATCCTGTTTTGGATTGAAGTTAAGATGTGAGCCCTGATCTACAAGGCATAAATGCCCTGATTCAACAAGGTAGATGGACATGGCCCTTTATGGCTCTGATTCAGCAAGGTACTTAGAATGTGAGTAGTCCCATTAAACTCAATGCAAATATTCTTGTGCTTAAGTTAAGCACGTGCTAGGCACCTTGATGGATCACAGACTTAATGGGCTGTGTCTAAGCTCCCTCAAAGACTGCCTATCCAATCACAATTTTCCAAAACAGATATGGTTCCCCAAGTGTATGCAGCTGGCCCAGATTCAGACTCTTGCCTGCAGTGGGTAGAGCATTTTCAGTGGTAAGATTCTTGCTGTAGAATACTTAGAAGGCTTTTCTCTGCCACAGCTTGTTCAGATCCAAATACAAGAACCACCTTTTTACCTCCCCCCAGTAACATCAACCCACAATTAGAGTTGGTGAAAGATAAAGAGAAAACAAACACACGTACATATTAGGGGCGGGGGGTATGAAAATATTGCCAGTTAGGGAACACTCAGTGCCATCTTTAATTATTGCCTAGGTAGCATCGGGGTGGAAAAGCTCAATATGGCTCATTCCTCCAGATCCTGATTCTTATGTCTTCCATCTAATTGTAGACATTTCTCCATTCATAGATCTCCTGCTCTGTTCCTAGCTTACTTGGCATGCTAACTCCTGGATCAGCTTCAGTTCCTTTTTGTTGAAGGAAATGAACCATCAGGGAGACTATGAACCTTATTTACTTTGACTTGAAAAACTCCAACTACAGCCTTATGTAAATACACAAGGCAAAGATTGTTGTTCTATTTTCTCTTTTAACATTCTTCCATTGAACACTTAATAAGTACAGCTTAGTTCAGGACTGACTTGTACTCTCCCTCCCTCCTCTTTATTCGTAAGTGACAGTGGGAGAAAAAAAGTAGAGCAATACTTAAACTCCCATCAAAACAAAAGCAACACTGTTGAGACTATAACAAAGGTTTTTTTCTAGTAATGTTTTGTTTTATTGCACTGCTGCATAGCAAAGCCAATAAATATCAACAGTGAAAGCCACTGGTTCTGTGTGGAGAATCATTCCTATAATTCTTCTATTTACGCTCATCATGGTTTGATTAATATATATGGGCAGGAATAGTGAATTTAATTTTGCTACCTAGCACACAATATTCTGTATGTGTCTCACGACCGCGTTTTTCAAGCCCCAAAGAGAAAAACTCTCCCTGGGGAATTTGCATCTTCTGTTGCAATCCAGAACTTTGAGATAATATATCTCAAATTTTAAAATAACCACTTGGCTGCCTTTTTCCTTTTGTTACCTCATGGCACTTTACATTAGGTTCTTGGGCCAAAGGATTTTATCATTAAAAATATAAATGGCCTCCTCCCTTTTTTAAACTGGCTAGTAGTGCCACAAACTTCTGACACACAGCAAGTATTGCCTACAAAAACACCTGTTGCTACAGAGTATTCATGTCAGACATTTTTATGCCAGATGCTATTTTGTGCTGGAATCCAACACTTTTGGCTATTGTGCTACCTTCCAATCATTTGGTGTTCCTTCCGCCCTCCGCCCCCTTTAAAAGCTGAGAATGTTTCTAGTATATTTTTCTCTCAATGGTATAAATAAAAAGTGATCAGTACCTAGGATCACTGAACTAATGGGTACAATCACGGCAGAAAGAGAAAACAGCAGGTTCATTGCTACGTCAGATGAAATACATGGAACCAGATTAAGAGAATTGAGAAAATGATTTACAAAGACAAGTGTGACAAAATAAAAAAAGGATAGCACACGATGTGAAGACTAAGGCTTTGAGTGGGCCCCGTTGACTTGGGTGGACTAGATTGCAGGATTCGGTCCTTGGAAGTTTTTACAAAAATACAAGATAAACATTTGAGGAGGGGGATTGACTTGTAAATTTTGAGAGGGGGTGGGGTGAGGAAATCTTGACAGAAGATGTAGATAGTACTAGGAAACTCAACAACTTTATTTCTGGGCAGAGTGGAAAAACATTCAGTTATTCTATCTCCATTCAGAAAATGTAACAGTTATAGCAATAAAAAAATAATAGAAAAAATAGCAGCTGACGGGAGAGAAGGATGAAGGACAGGGACTTAGAGGTAGCAAATGGAATTAAACACCCAATAGCAGAAATCTGACTCAGCAGCATGATGAAACAAATTCATCGTTGAAAAGGAGGAAAAGCAGGTTTTTATTCCCTACAGAAGAAAACAGCCTTTTTGCTTGATGGGAAAAGACTTTAAGGACCCCTTCAATGTACCTTTATTCTCTGTCTCACATTAACTGGACAGATGAAAATTCTTGAAGACTGTGCTTTTTACAAGTCCACCAATCATTTCACATCAAACTGAGAATCAAATGATTTCTGGAATGAGCATGTACTAAGCTGACTGATCCCACTGATTGATTACAGTGGCAATTAACTCCTCTTCCAAATAACAGATCCACTTGCAGCTGCTATCTGGGAACATTTAATTCGGTACATGGTAGGGCTGTGAGAGACATGAAGGTTCAGTACAGGAATAGAAATCTGCAGGACTGTGTGCAGAGATTAGACACAAATCAAGATGTGCAAATTCTCTCTGAGGTTTGAGGCTGATGGCTTTTAACCTCTCATGAGGAATTCCTCCATAAACTGGCTCCTTCCTTCAAGGGAGACCCCTCCCTCCTTACCTTAGATGTCTCCTGAGGGAAGGAATTATCCCAAAGTTTGATGGGGAAGGGGGAATGCAGGAGAGTCACTGGATTCCCACCAAAGTTTCACAAACTTCTGAAAACACTGGTTGCAGTTCTTAGACGCATCATACTTAAGGTTCAATAGAGCAGACTTGAAGTTCATTATGAATATTTTGCATAGCTTTACCGAAGACTGCCTTCAGCTGTACAGTCACCTTTCTGCCACAGGGTATGTCTATCAATGCCTGTCCCCAGGAAATGAAAAGCTACCCTGTTTTATATAAACCACATTTCCTAGACTTTTGCAAACTTAACACCATTAATTTGGGCTTGAATGGGGACTGGGAGTGGCTGGCTCACTACAAAAGCAATTTTCCCTCTCTTGGTATTGACACCTCCTCATCAATTACTGGGAGTAGACCACATCCACCTTGACTGAATTGGCCTTGTCAACATTGGTTCTCTGCTTGTAAGGTAACTCCTTTCTCTTCAGGTGCCAGTATATTTAGGCCTGTATCTGTAATTTTCACTCCATGCATCTGAAGAAGTGGGTTTTTTACCCACAAAAGCTTATGCCCAAAATAAATCTGTTAGTCTTTAAGGTGCCACTGGACTCCTTGTTGTTTTTGTGGATACAGGTCTGTCGCATCTTACGCGCATTTAACATGCACGATTTCAGCTTTACGCGGTCGGCAAAACAAAAACAAAAAACAAAAAAAAAGAGAAAAATAACAATTTTAATACTGTACCTGTAGTGCGGGCGATTCCGCCCGCCGTTACACTCAATGTAATTTTGACTATACGTGATTTTTGCTTTACACGCTGACTGCAGAACGTAACCCCAGCGTAAGATGCGACAGACCTGTACAGACTAACGCCTCTGACACTATTTCCTAGACTGACGATTATTTTATCCCTCTCACAGAAAAGGGATCCCAATGTGTTGAGTGGCAACTGTGAATGTTTAACATCTGTCCTATAGATTTCAAGTTGGTCTATCAAATACATGGTAGCCTATGTTAATTTGAAGAAGGAAACAACTAAAGTAATGTAATATGTTGCAAAGCAACTATGCGAGCCACAAGCCATTGTGCATAGTTTTCTAAAGAAATATCTTTTCTGCAAATTAAACTTTGTTGTCTTAATAAATACATTATGCAGAGATGAATTATCACTGTTGTCAAATCAAATTATTAGCAGATTCTCCTTGGAAAAGAGCAGTATCCACTGAGGATATGCTTTAAAAGCAAACAGCAAATGACAATGCATCTTACTCTATTTGTTCCCCCATAAGAATATATCATTAGTGTGTTTGCAAGAAATAATATACACAGCCCCAAAAGCCTGTCTATGGGACTATTATGAAAAGTACTTAATATATCACACATAATTAGATTCCCTATGCTGCATGCATTAATCCAAAGCAAGGATTACTGCTAAAATAAAAATTACAGACCTTGTGTAACTCAACGGGCGTTGGTGACATGATTTCTTTCATTTCTTGTTTAATTTTTCTCAAAACCACAGACTTTCTCCCCACGTCTGATGGCAGCGTGTTACTGCGGGCAGCCTGGCTGTAATGTGGCCTCACATTGCTTCTTTCCTGGAAACTGGCTTGTCTTCCCAGTTGGCTGCGAGGCTGTGGATTTTCATGATTCAAGCTCATTGTACTTCCTGACATAATTGTTGCCTACAGCATTAACAAACAGTTTTTTTTTTTTAAATTATAACTTGGATTAAAGAAAGGGTTACTTCATAACACTAGGCACAATTCTCTAATCTCTTGTCAAAACAAAACCACTTCAGGGCACAGTAAAAGGCAGGAGGATAGACATACAAACCGGTTGTAAATCACTAAAAAAAGCCCAACCGTGAGCGAAAGGTTTTCAGATGATATTTTAAACCAAAATGCCAAAGAAAGCATTAAAATTGCTATTTTTATGAAGTCAAACGCCCTGAACAGTACAACTGTTTACTTACACTGAGGTTATTTTTAAAATGAAATGACAGCCAAATTCTGGAACATTAGCTTTCCCTAGAACTTGAACAAAAGAAGGCATTTACTATAGTGGCATATGCCGATTTCAAGGAAAAATACTTGAACCAGCAAAGTGTGAAGGCAACCCTAGAACCAGCACTGCCTTTGATGGTGACTAGACACTGCCACAGAACAGCAGATCATTTAGAGTAGCTGCTTGAGAAGAACCCGAATATAATAATGATGCTGTAGCAGTAACTTTCTGAAGTACCACCGGCATATGTGAAGAGATACAAAGCTCTGTCTCTTGCATCAATTTCATTCTCCCAGGAACAGGACCTTTCTCATTGGTAATATTGCTGTGGATGCAAAGAGTGAAAACCTGGATCCACTAAAGTCAAAGGCAAAACTCCCACTTCATCCCCAGGGTAGAATAGCTTAATGCCGACAAATATCAATATAGAGGAGGAATTGTTTCCTCTGTGTTGTGGAATGTAAAAATCTAATCAGATGCCCTTAAACATTCAGTTTTACTTTCTGCAAGCACTGGGGGTAAAGGTTGTAACCACTGCCACGGCAGGGATTTTGATGAGGAAGGGAGTCTCCTCTTAGATTGGGGAAGAAGCAGCAGAAAGGTCACAACTCAAGGGGACAGAGGATGCAGACAGCCCTTCCCAAATATGGGAATGGAGAAGAAAATCAGATACGTTTTTGATTAGAACCACTGGTTCTGGTGATGGATTCGGTGCTGCCCATGTTCCCGTCAGCACCAGCACTGCCTTAATTATGTGACAGTACTATGGTTGTAACAGCTTCCCAACACATTAAGTGTGACTTATGATGCTCCCTTGTGAAACAGCAGCTGCAAGAGGACTTGATAAAGTGTATTTCACCTTGCTGTTTGGCTGAAGACCTTGAAATGAGCAATGAGAAGGGAGTCCTAATGAAGGAAGTAGGGATGATACTTTAAAAACAGACACAGCCCATTTTAGCCTTCTGATGCAAAAAGACATCTTGTCATCCATTGGGAATACTACTTCTATAATCTTATGTGGACAGATGTCTGTTCAGAATTGTGCTGGTCATACAATTACATATAGTGATAGCAGTAAAGCACTCAACCACAGTTTTGATTTTTAATTTTTAAACTCATAAATTGATGGTAAAAACTGTAAGAACGTCAATTTGTTGAAATATCCATTTCGGTTATCTATTTCCATACCCTTTTACTGTGCTCTGAATAATGAAAATCACAAGAGAACCCCGTGGTACCATGCCATAGATAACCACAGAATTAAACTAAACCGACATTAACTTTTCTCTTAATTTCTCTGTCTTGCAATTACAAGTATTTCAGAATCACATTAAAGTAACCGTACATGCAATACGGAAGCCATAAATCTGAGCATGTACAATCATTTAGAACTGCAAAAGTTTCACCTAGTTATGCCATTCACATTCCTTGTGGTTGCTAAGAGACTTCATATGACATAAAAATGAAAATGAGATTTTGCCAGTTTTGGAGCTCAGGAAATTGAAAAGAACATAAAAGAACATATTTTTAGGATTTTCCATTTGACAGTTTTAAAACTGTCAGTATATTTTTAATAGTTCTGATTAAAGAACTTACAGAAAATGTATTAAAAATGCACAGTTATTGTTTCCTCCTACCTCCCCCAAAATCATCTGATACAAAGTTATAATGGAGTTCAGGTTTGCAATTAACTTCAGGATGCAATGTGAAAATTTGTTGTATACAACAACTTTTCGTTACTGTGAACATTTCTTGTGCTGTTTTTGTTCACAAGGTGACAGATTCCTGTTAAAAACATTTTAGATGATGTTTTTCTTTTATGTTCATCTTAATCAAAGTAGTTTACAGACCAGAGGCAAATTATAACATGCCAAGAAAAACTTCATGAAGCGGCTCTAAGGAGGGGGATGCACCGCTGCTGGAAAATTCTGGCCACTTAAAAATTCTGCACAAAATGCTGCATGTGTTAGCAGAGCGCACAACAGAAGCTACAAGACAGGAAGCTTTTGGGTGATCATGTTTATCTACTTTCAACTGCGTAATATAACAGAAAATAGCTTTATTTGGGGTAGGGGAGGCAGCTGCACAAGCAAAAATATAAACATAAAGGGTAGGTACCAAGAGAGTCATGTTTCTCAAATACAGACGCCTGTCAGCCTTGTCCTGTGGAAAGGGGTTAAAGCTTTTAAATGAATTGGTGTGATTAATGCAAATAAAGAAAAAAGAAGAAGAGAACAGAAAATGAATGTAAGACAAACAAAAATGTTACATCTCTATTAGAAAGATTGCACTACCTCAAGTTCCCTCAGAATTCCTGACTGGCCACAGGTCTCTAAATCCTCCAGAGCCTGAGACCAGAAGTTTTCCTCCTGGTCAGTTTCACTGTTGTCGTGGGCACCTGAAAAGCTGGGTTCACAAAGAGAAGTTCAGTCAAATGTACAAACAACACACAGGCTTCACTTTGCAGTGCATTAGTCAGACAAGTGTCTTGTCACACACAGCAGCTACAACAACAGAATGTCAGTGTTATGCTGAGAGATACCAGTGACTGCTTGTATCACAAACCTCTGAGATTGGATGTTAATGCACCTTTCAATGAACATAACTGTCAGGAAAAGTTAAACCGAAACCCCCTTACTTAAGACAAAAGGGGCTTGTGAATCTGCCCAGGAGTTTGGACTGAGTGGTGGAGGGCTTTTGCTGAGCATTTTTTGGGGGACGGGGGGGGGGGGAGGGAGGACGGACGGGGGACAGACATCTACTCTGCTTTGTGGACCTGATCTGTGAGACTTGGTGTTTTCAAGCCCACCCTTGAACGTCCACACTGCATTGTAAACCTGGACTTACAATTGCTAGAACCAGATCTCACAGCTGTGCTAAAGCATCCCTACTGCGCTACCCAGACCTTCAGACTTGGGTCTGTGGCTTGAGCTACGTCAACATTGCAAAATGACAGAGCTTAGACATGAGTCACAGTGGGACTTGGATTCTGACCCACCCTCTTAACAGGGTCCCAGGACCTGGGGTCTTAAGTGCTTGCTGACCTGAGCAGACTGATTTCTGTGTGGACAGAAGGGGAGCTTGGGCTCAAATATAAGTCAGAGCTCAGGCTTAGTGTGCAGTGTAGACACACACAAAAGAGAAGGGGGGACACACAAAAGAGAGAGAGCAGCAGAGGCAAAAAGCAAGGAAGCCAAGTAGGAGCCTGTCAGCACATTGTGACCCTGGAAAAAGCTAGAGAGAACTTTTGGGTCTGGTGTTGGGTAAAGAGGCTTGGGGCTGTCAGTTAAGAAACTGCTCCTTTTATTCTTGGTTCCTCCTACGTTCAGAGAAACAGGACTTTGTACATTCCTTGAAAATAAACAAGATGACTGCACCAGAAAGAATACTAGACTCCATCCATTAATACTTCCAACTGGAACATCCCCAGGGCTCTGAACGCTGACTAGCTGTTTAGATTAAAAAGGGGAAGCATTATAATAAGAATGTGAGAGTAGGTAGGATACAAAAAGTAGGTGATAGCCAGTCTCCCATACACGGGCAATTACTAGCAGCTGACTGGTTGCAGAAGAGGTGGATTTTGAGCAGTGTTTTATAAGGGGAATGAGAAGTAGATTTTCTAAGAACAATCTAATGTAAATTTCCTTCTGTAATAATTGGGACATCTTAATGAAAGTTAGTGAACCAGGCATCATTACAGTTCATAGCTGATCAGTGCAATGAAATACTTGTAATTAGGCTTTTCCACCCACACATTTCCCTTGTGGTATGCAAAGAGGGCCCTCCAGTCTGCAAATAATGTCTCGCAAACTTATCTAGTCCAAGAAGAAATCCTGACACTTTCAGCTGTCTCCTTCATTCTATGCTACATTTATCATAATCAATTTAACCCCATCCCTGCCTCCATCAGAGCAACTGCTGCAATTGCTGTATGCAAACCACAGCCTGCAGGGTATAGATTCTCTTTCAGGACTTCAATGCTATTTCACAGACTTACGGCTTGATCCAGAAAAGTGCTTCAGCATGTGCTTAAGCCCCAATGAAGTCTATTCCCAGGACCATTCTTATTGTTAAGGATTTATGCTTTGTTTCATAAAAGTGCTGAAGTCTTGTTACCAACTTTCTCCTGCAAGATTTTGCTAACAGTGACACGTAGGAGAGTGGGCCAGTAAGAGAGTTTTGATAAAAACAACCAATTTACTGCAGAAACACAATACAGAATGACACCAGCATAGCATTTTAAAGGGCTAGCAGTAGGCTGGATGGACAAGAAGCTCGGAAGAAGTGTGCATGTGCACACACACACAGGAAGCACCATTATGGTGGTATTTCTGTGCTTCCTTGATAAATAGCATATTGCTAAACTAGTGTTATTAGTACTCCATTAACATAATAGCGTTTAATGCCACAAACATTATAGCTTGAAATGCTTCACAGATGTGGTATCTTTGCTTCAAGGATGCTTTCTTACAACCACCATCAGTTAGGCAGATTGTGGTTGGCCATTTCAAGCAAATGTGTCTCCTTTCACAATGTCTTTCCATAGAGCGCCAGTGTCTGTTCTAAGATATTGTTCAGCACTGGTGAGGATATCTGCTCAGATACAGATGCAGTTACTCCCAGGTAACACCGAAAGGCCTTTTCAAATGCTGTTTCAGAAAAGTCTTTGAGTTTAAAAATTGGCTTTTTCTACCATTCTGAGTACTTGCGTTTAATTACCAGCACTGATTTCAAACAGCCAAATATATCCAATATAGTATCTTACTAATACAATATATGTAATCCATATCTAACCCAGTATTTTACTAGTGCAGTGAGTCCTGACCTTTTTTGACTTGAGCCCCCATTGCATAGATCAGTGTCTGAACTCCCCTACTGCTGGGTCTCAGTGCCATTCCCTGCCTGGAGCATTTGCTGTGTTTTGCCTGTTTTCTCCCCATTACTCTCTCTACTGTCACTTTTTGTCTTTGCTTTCTCTTATTCTGCTTTTTATTTCAATCATTTCTCTCCTTTTTTCTGGTTTCACTCGCTATTGTTCAGTCTGGGGTTTGCTCTTTTTCCTTCCCCTTCCACCACCTCTTTCCTCTAGTTCTCACCCTCTCTCTCGCCATGCTCCCTTAGCTACCTCCCTGGTCTTTCCGCTGTAGTTTACTCTGAATGGTTTCCTTGACTTGCCCCTAATGCTCCCACTTCTTTCAGTTGCCACGTGTTCTCTCTCCTCTCTGCAGCTGCACCACACAACACAAAGCAGGCAGAAAAAAGTACTTTTTAGTGTTACTCAGGGGAGGGACAAAGAACTTAGCTGGAGGCAGTGGCAGAAAGAGGCTAGAGCCCTATCCTTTGCTCTGATTGGCTGGAAAGGATGGGCAAGTCCCTCAGAAGAATCTGGCGCTCCATTTAGGAATCCCATCAGTAGTGGTATAGTCCATCTTCTAGATACTGTCTTCAGATAATCTTTATTTTTATTTGTGCTGCATGTCTCAGAGGATTTTCACATTGGTAAATAGGAAATAGCTTTTGTATGAAGCATAGTTCTATTGATTTTGCCTTTAAAGGACAGCTGGAAAATATGATGTTTATTTTCAACAAATTATATGATATTTTTTATTACCCAGATTCCTTGTTGATATCTGATGAAATTTTTTAGCCTGGTATTTAACTGGTCCCCAAACAGTAGATTTATCAAACCCACGATTATATCTGGTCCGAGAAATAAAGGATGAGTTTGAACGGAGGCTAAATGTGCTTCTTTTGGTAAAACAAAGCTATTAATTTAAAAACAACTGGGAGCATATAGCAAGGACGGATGGATTCCTTTACTAAATTTTTTACACTAGTAATCTCAGTAGTCAGTGTCCAAGAAGTCTGGTCTTCTGTTTGCTCACACATCACAGTAGAGTCAATGTCTTGCTTTTTCACTTTTTCAGCACACTAATATGGAATTAACTGTCTGTGAAGAATTAAAATCCCTTCACCAACAGGACTGGATGTTTTACTACCTGGCTGGTAGAAGGGTGAAGAAAGGTATTTCCATAATTTAATGCCATTTTTCACATATCTTCCAAGAGCAGAGATTTTATGGAAAGGATTAGATGCCATCAGTTTGAATGGATGGGTCATGAGATGTGATGGTTGTAGGGCCTTGCCCCAAATCTAGGCCTTGCAGTAAGAAATCTAGAAGAGCTGGCATGCCTGTTTTCCTGGGCTTGTTCTATCTCTCTTGAACCAACAGGAGGACTTTGTCCAAACTCTTGCTCGGTCCAGGAGGGTAAAAGGCCTGCATGAGGCTATGAGAATCTCTATTACTTTGGATGAGTATCCTTTCTTGTTTAGGCCTTGCCACTCAGGATGTCAGGCTCAGGTAGTCTGCATTGGGATGAGAAGTGTGCTCTGGAAGATCCTGTCACCTAGGTAGAAGCAGCTAAGACCTCTGCAACAGTTCCACTAAGACTGAGGGCTACAGCCTTTGGAGTGATAAGCATTTCTGTTCTTTCCTCCTTTTGTATTCACACTTCCCAGTAGTTGAAGATGGAGGAAAGCCTAGAGTTGCTAATTCATCTGCTCCCAGTGATTCTTGGTTCTCTTTCCTTGTGAAGAGAAGGCTTCACATTTCAGCTGGATGTGTGTAGGTCCACCTGAAGCTGGCCTAGCTCACTGGATATTAGCTGGATTACTACTGGGTTCAGGGACCATTCCAAAAATGGTTTATCTAATGGTTTAGCTAGTTTGCTTTTATGCTCAGTGTGGACTTCCCTGGTGGAGACTACCAGGAAAGAATCTGCATCATACCACTGTTTAGACTTAAGCTTCTTGTGTGTCCTTGCTGTTTTATTTGTTGTACTGAACCAAGCCATGCTCATTCCTCAGATAATCCTGGAAGTCCCAAAGAACCAGCGTTCTTGCTGTCATCTCTAGGGAGTTGATGCTGTGTCACCTTTCTGACCTTGACCACATTTCCTGTGTACTGTTTTGCCCAGGTGTGCTACCCAATCTGAAGGGTTGACATTTGTGGTCAGGACTTGGAGTCTAGATTATAAAGGGAGAATCCTACTGTTATGTGAGTACCATGCCTTCTCCAGCTGAGGGACTGAACCTCTTTGGATAGTATGTTCCCCTTCTGTTATATCTCCTGCGTGGAATGGTTCCAGAGTGCCTGGAACTTTCATACGCCCTGAACTATGAAGTAATCTCTATGTATGAGACCAGAAGACCTAGGTGTTGCAGGTAAAGATGGATGGATAATGCTCTGTTCTGTGACACCATAGAGACCAGTGTCTGGATCTTGTTAAACTTTTCCTGAATTGAGAAGACTCTAGCTTTCCTTGTGTCCTTCTCAAGTCCTAGGAGAAAAAATCCTTTGAGGAGAGATAAGGGAATGCTTCTTTAATGAACCTATGTGCCTGAAGTACGGAGAGTGTCCTCTGGACAACTTTCTGCAACATCCCTGGGACAGCGTTCTGTATGTCATTTAAGAATGGGCATTTTTGAGTCCTTAGATTGAACCCCAGGAATGAAGGAGCTGATAGAACTTCTTGTTTCTTTTCCTGTTTTTGGCTTTTTTGGTTGCCTCCTGGAGGGGGAGGGTGGCTTCTTTTCTACCATCTGAAGCCTACCAAGGGAAAAGCACCTCAAGGGTTTTTTTTCTTTGACATTAACACCTAATGCTATGTCTTTTATGCACAGAAACTCATGTTACTTACAAGCCTTGCTTTCAGCTTCGTAGCCTTGCATTAATGTTACTGATCTATCCTTATAAATCTCATGCAGCATGAAGTGGCATCTTAGAAAGGAGAAGCTGAAAAGCTGGGTTATTAAAGGTATTTTCATTCAAGAAGATCAGTGCTAATTTTTTAAAGAAAAATCACTGCAATTTTGCTGCAGTTGTAAATCTCATATTACAACTTAGCATGTGACTTACCCACTTGCTGTTGGTCTGTCCCATTCATCATCACTCAGTCCTGTGTCATGAAATGGGTGGTTTCGTGGTCTACTGGGAGGGGACAAATTGTCTCTTTGCTTAGGACTCCTCCATTCATATGCATTGAAGTTGTATCCTGAAGCCTGATAGGTGGGACCTAAAAAGTTAATCATATACGTTGGACTCTGTAGATGTTCAAATAACTGAAAATGCATATGTTTAATAGGCAGATGTTCAAAAACTTGTACCCATAATTTGTGGGCATACAACTGCCGGTAATTTTTTGTGGGTACAATTAGATACTTAGATGTCTAAGCTGTACTCACAATTAATTGTGAGCAAAAAGAGAGGTCCCTTAAAACCAGATGTTAAATACCCGCAATACAAATGAAGCTGATTGTCCTAGATTGTGTCTCTGCCCCCTGCCCCCCGCCCACTCCAGGGCTGTTCATCTAGTATCTTTGATAAGTATCACTTTTTCTTGAATTTTCAAGAAAAACAGGAAAAAAGAGGCAATGGAGTTTAAATGTAAAAAAGTGAAAAGTCAACAGCAGCGCTGCCTGAATCAACCTAAGAAGATTATATTGTTTTTCGGTTTTACATGTTTCATATTTTAAGGTCTCCTTAAAAGCACTTTAAATTAACCAGATCCTAGTGATAGTCAAAGTGGCAGCCCTTATGCATTCAGCTCCAGTTCACACAGAGACTTGGCCAGCAGCCATATCACCTTGTGCTGTGATCCTGTCATATCTGAAAATGTAAGCTGGATTGGATGGACTTGGTACTTGGATGGGAGCCTCCCAAAAGAACACCTACGTGCTATATGAAGCAGTATTAGGGATTCAATAGCTGACACTCTTCTCAGTCAGTACTGGACCAACGTTCCAGCATAGCATTACGGGGCACTGTGCTGCTAAAGGGGTTACAGTCCTTATACAATGTGATCTCATGGTAGTTTTGATACAAGTAGAGGGGCTAACCTCATTGTCCTGGCCAAATTCTATCTCAGGTTAATTACATTCTGCCTATCTAAATTCCCCCCCAGTTTCCACCACTTAAAATTCCCCTGCATTTGGAATAAGGTATTCATTACTTCCTGTCCTTAGGTGATATCTGTACTGTTGTGCCTCATTAAACTATTATTCCATTTCATTGGTGGAGGAAGTGTTCCCTGTATACAGTCTGTGACCTAGTTGAAGACTGGAAAGTGCTTTGGAATCTTCTGGGAGGAAAGACCCTATAAAAATGTCTGTTCATTCTAACTATAACTTGACTTATTGAAGGGGGAAATAAAGATTGAATCTGAACCTCAGGATTAACCGTACTTTTTTGTACAGTTTTCTACCAAAGGACCATTAACTTCCAGGTAGGAAGCCAACAGCAATAAGCAGAACTGACCTGCCCCAGTTAAAGATCTTATTCTAAGAATGGCACCTCTACCCAAAAATGTTCTGTCCTAAAAGGCTAGAATGCTACCAGCTGGGCCATATTGACAGCTATTGTCTCTGCTGATGGCTGGGCTGAGCATTCTTTGTAATCCTGCAGGTTAGCACTATTTTAGGTTCAGGAACTATTTACAGTTACAATATTTCATTATTTTGGTCTGATAGAAGCAGAAATATGAGCGGTGTGTCTGTAAGAAGCCATGTGTGTGATGCATGTGCAGTTTACTGTCAAACTAAATTACAGCTGCATGGTGAACATTCTGCTCTCCATCAGGGAAATGAAATGGCAGCAGTACAGTGCATTCTGGCACACTGTCAAACTAACCTGCTTGTTTCCCTGGACTGAAATAGAACAGCACAAAATCTTGCTGCTTATAGTACAACCTGTCATGCCTCTGAACATGATTTTAACCTCACAGCTCAATTGGATAGAAAATCTAGTCAAAATAAATATCTAAGCAGGTTCAGTTAATTTTTTAAATTAGATCATTAAGGATTAAATTTAAAACAAAAAAACCAGAGCCATTCAGATTTATAGCTGCGGTTGCATTTTACGACTATTTCTGCTTTGCATTAATAAAGGACCTTCCAGCTCAGAAGCTCAAAGTACTTTACAAACAATGAATTTAACCTCACAATACCGTTAAGAGGTAGATCAGTATTACAATCCCCATTAAACATATATGGGAAATCAAGACATAAAAAGGTGAAGTGTCTTGGTGGTCAAGTGATTTATCAAAGATCACATAAGAAATTTATGGTAGAGTTAAGAATAGAACCCAGCCTTTCTGAGGGTATGTCTACATTGTAATTAGACACCCACGACTGATCTGTGCCAACTGACTCGGGCTCACAGGGCTCAGGTTAAGGGGCTGTTTAATTGTGGTGTAGATGTTTGCTCGGGCTGCAGCTTGAGCTCTGGGACCCTCCCACTTCACAGGGTCTCCGAGCCCGAACATCTACACTGCAATTAAACAGCCCCTTAGCCCGAGCCAGCTGGGTCGGGCCAGCTACGGGTGTCTAATTGCAGTGTAGACATAACCTAAGTGCCAAGTGTGTGATTTAACCATTAGACCAACCTTCTTAAATCTAGCGTAATATGCTCAGGATTGGCAGGGATCTCTGAACAGTGCATGATGTTACAGTAAACACTCTGGCACCAATTCTCCACTGAATCTGAGCTCGGTGGGGACACAGCGGAGACTGGTGGCACAGGGAACACACTGCGCTCTGAGTGCAAGTTAGGGCTACACAAAGGCAGGCCTCACATATGCCTCTGAAATAAGGTCCCCAAAGAACTTTAAACCAGTGGAGGATCAGAAATGGCACAGCTCCGTTCCACCAGGTCCCTTCCCTTCCTTGCCCTACCCGCATGCATCCTCAGACAGCCCCTGACACACTCCTGGCCTCACCTCTTGATAAGGGTTGGGAAGACTGCCTTGCGTCCATTTACACCAATGGAAAATTTTCCTTGCACAAGGGTATTTCTCCACTGGCCATCTCCAGACACTTGAGGTTTATCGTGTGCTGCTTGTGCAGTCTAGAGTATTCAGTCCTGCATGTGCTGGAATGTCTTAACATTATTTCAGTGAAACTTTTCTTATTTAATTTAATGTGGGCTGCATTCCAAATGACCCAACACATCCCTACACCATCTAAGGAATTGTGGTGATGAACACCTGGTACAGTAGATTCTAATAACAATCCTTGATATTAAGCAACTTCCAGTTAATGTCAACATTGTGCTGGGAACCAGTCCCCTCCCATTAATATCAATGTTAATGGGATTTGGATATTGGCAATGGCATACCACGTATTAGCGATTTGATTTTTTTTTTTTAAAGAAAGGCCCCACCTGCAGGCAGGTTTGTGAGGCTGCAGGCAGGGAAGGAAGTGCTGGGATGTGCCTTCCCTGGGGGCAGCCCCACAAACCTACCTGCAGCCAGTGCTCAGTCTGTCCCAGCACTTCCTTCTGGGGCAGCAGCCTGGCAAATCTGCCTGCGCACAGAGACCACACAGGAGGTAAGGGGCTGTGCACTGTGGACAGGGCAGTAGCGGGGAGTAAGGCTCCAGCCCAGATGTCAGAGCTGCATCGTACCTCTCTCCGAACTCTCCAGTCTGCAACCTGCTGGGGGTGGGGTCGGGTGGGGGAGACTGCATACAGGGTAGGAAGCAAGGCCCAAACCCTAGAGAGCACAGGGCAAGATCCAGTTCAGCCCTATGGACCCCCAGTGGCCCCACTCACTGTAAAGAGCTGCAGTCGCCCTCCCTGCTGCTGTCCTGCCTGCAGGCAGGTTTGCAGGGCTGCAGTCAGGAACAACATGTCCAAGCACTTCCTTCCCTGGCTGCTGCCTCCCAAACCTGCCTTCTGCTTATTAGCAACTGCTGGGTAATGGCAACATTTTGCTGGCAACCAAGAAGTTGCTAATAAGCAGAATCTACTGTATTATTGAGCCATGAGTGAAACCACATGTGTCTGTTTGGTGCACTGCACTGACCTTTTACATTTTCCTTTTTAACCCCTGTACAAGGAACTTTTCCACACACACTTTTGCTGGAGAAGCTCTCTTTTGTTGAGAAGCTCTGTTTATCGGTGACCAATACACAGGAGCAGTTCACTTCCTTGAATCTGTCTGGAATCACCTCCCTCAAAACAGTGTAGCTATGGAGTTACTCCGTTACTCTTTTGGCTGAATGTCCGGCATTAATGCACCCAGATGCTGTTCAGGACAAGGGTTTTGCTTGTGAGAGCTTGTGTGTTATGGATTACTATGTAGGGAATGCTCTGGCTACCCCATGCTGGCACATTAGCCAATGGTCCTAAATATAGTGTCAATCCATCTGCGGGGAGAAACACTGCCACCAGCCCTAAATCAGTATAACAAATAAGAGAAAACATTTTCTGGTGGTGCTACAAGAAGGTTTCCAAGACTCCTGAATTTGCTTAGTTTATATTTATGCCAAGAAAGGTTGGAAAGGGAGCCAAACTCAGAAGTGACAGGTCAGGCAAGAATAGAATTTAATGCAGAAGGGGGAGGGGGGGATTTTAGTACCAAGACAAGAGAATATTCATAGTAAGACACAACTTGATAACTACTCAGGCAGTTTAAGAGACATGAGATATACTGATGCAAGAATGGGACAGTATTTTTAAGGCAGATGGAGGAGATTTGTTCGCAGTTATTAGGTTAAGAAGGTGAATCATATATAGTTGTCGATCTGCCTCTTGACAATAGGATGACCAGACAGCAAATGTGAAAAATCGGGAAGGGGGGAGGGGGTAATAGGATCCTATATAAGAAAAAGACCCAAAAATCAGGACTGTCCCTATTAAATTGGGACATCTGGTCACCCTATTTGACAAGGATATAATCACTGTGGCAACATGAGTCCCCCTTTCACAGGTGACAAGCATTCTCCTAGTACTGACAAGTCTAATCAGGGAATTGTTGCGATTCTTTCATTTAATCCATCTCCGGAACCATTTTTGGCAATCTCAGCAGAGAGGACAAGGCCTCTTGGTCATGGAGTCTGAACTAAGCTCTCGTCTTCCTTCAGGACTAAATCTGAGCACATTGGTGGGGCAGCGTAGGGAAGTTTACACTGTCACTGCCTGCTCTGAACCTGTTCTGTAAGTAAAAAGAGGATTCACTCCAGATCAATTCAAACAGGAAACAGAGTTGTCAATCTAGCAACTTTCATAGACTATATTCCCTTAAAATTATCAGAAAACTAAAGAAAATATAAAATTTATTCTGTTAATCAGATCAAAGTGGTGGTGGTGGTGGGGAGCAGAAAGAGGGAGGGGAAAGATACAAATGGGTCAAATTAATCTCTGCAGTAACTCCAGTGAAGTCAATTTAATGTCTCAGCTCCAGTATGAGAATCATATTTTAGGCCAAAGAAAATGTAAATATAATGATAAATTAACCCCAAAACACAGAAAAGAGGGATTATGATCTAATGCTGAGAGACCCTTTTGTACAACAGAGAGTTACTGCCAGGATATGCACAATAAGACCAAAAAATACTTAAAAACTAAATAAAAAAAAACCAGCAATCAATAGTGACACCAGCTACTTCTTGCTCTAATATTATTAGACAGGCTTTAAAGGAAGATTGTCAGAGAGAAAATGACAAGTGCTTCATTGAACCAGACATATATTAATTATATATAAGCAGTTAAAGTAATCACAAAGAATTTCAGTCTATCAAGGCAATGTATTGGGCCAAGGTCTGTCCCAATTCTCTGTATGGGGGTAAAACACAGCAGAGCAACTGATCTGACTGCCCATGCCCCAGAAAGTCTTGACAGAAATGTAAAGATGAAGACACAACTGAACAATTTAATGAAATCAGGAGGAGGAAGAAAAATCTCTCTGGGTTAGGTGATCTGTCTGTGTAAAGATGTACTGTGCACACCAGTGGTAGTACAGAAATAATAATTTAAAAGACAGTCAAAGAAAACATATGAAGATGTTTGGAAGCTTCTTTGTTCTTTTGTAATTCAGAGTAATAAAGAACTGCCTACATTTTCTATAGCCTAAAAAACTTACGTCTTATCTTACATACTTAACGTGAATTATTTAAAAAGTACTATTAAATAAACAGTCAAATCTAGCTAAAGAAGTTTGAAGGTAATAAGAAGCCTGTTATTTCTTTAATTTAATAATCTCTTTAAACACAGTGATTACTTTGAGGGCTAAAAGTTTGAGTCTAATGTCATGGGAATGAAGAAGAAACAAAAGAGTAACAAATCACTGAATGATCTCTCGTGTCCCCCTTCAGCAGTTTACAATAAATCTTCATTGTAGTCATCTTAAAAACCAATGAGAATGGGCCTCAGATACTCAATGTGTTCTGTGCCTTGTATTAATCTAATCTTGAAGGATAAGCTCATTTAGTGTGGATGAACTATGGATTGGGCCATTCAGACATTTGTAAAGCTAATGCAAGTCTGTTAATATATTGATAAATGCCTCATAACCCATCACAATGTTATGAAAGAATGAACTCAAGGCCACCTGAGTGTAAGAAATAACACCAGATACCAAGGGGTGTGCTCGTAATGAGACGTGCACACTGTGAAGTACAAAGTTGAAAGTTGGCGGGTAGGATTTTCTCTAATGTGGAGAACTGTGATTCAGACATCTAATCACTTCTGTGTTAAGTGGTGGTCGAAACTGTTGCTTGTACCTTGGCTTCCAAAGCTGGTATCAATACCAGAACCATCCCATGATTCTACTGCGCTGTCCACACTTGGAACTGTAGTAGAATAAATGTCCGAGAGTTTGCTTGGTTTCTGTGTAGAAGAGGTTTCATCTTCAGCATCACTCAGCTCACTTAAGTGACCAGAGATGGAAAATTTCTTGGGGCTTGCAGCTAAATAGGGTTTAAAAACAAACATGATTATAGCCTCTTTGCAACCTAAAAAGATACTTCCCCTCCCTTTCATTATGGACAAGAAATTTCCCCTGGCACATACATGTTCAAATGTTTAAGGTGTAGAAATACACTGGTTCAAGAGCATAAATGTGACTCTAGCCATACTCACCATCTGTCTGCTTCTTGATTTTCAAGGTGACAGTCTCTCCTGCCATCTGTAACAAATGTATGGCTTCACTCAAAGGTTTTCCTTTCAGACTGCTGCTATTTATTGCTAGGATGCGGTCTCCTATGTGAATTGCACCTGTCCTAAAGCATCAGAAATAAAACACTGAAAAGATCAACAGAAAAAAATAGCAAAGCCAATTTCTTCGCATATTTTGAGACATGCGAGTGTATTTTCAATTGTTTCTTTTAATTTCACATGTAAGGTATTATTACTGGAACTACTTTTAATCAGTACATTTGCCACTAAGGATGTGTAAATTAAGTTACCTCTGCTGCAATGCCAGCAGCAGAGATAATGCACAGCAATGAAGATTTCTGTCTCCTTTGCTGTGGCAAAATGTGGGTGAACTGATCATATAAGGAGCCTGAGTGGTGCTCATTTGTTAAAAAACCTAAAATACTTTAATAACTTTAAAGTAAACTTAATGTTTACAGAAGTACCACTTTGACAGCACTGGAAACTGAAGTCTCATAATCACAGGACAGATACAGCAAGTGCAATGGTAGCCTGAAAAACCACCCACTGTCGCACCAATATGCCTGTTCTGTAGGAATCACCTCAAGAGATGAGAAGATACATTTTGTGTGTCAATGCACCTGGTTCATTCCCCATGTATATATTTGCTTTTCTGGTTCATTCAGTTCTTGGCCTCTCTGTTTAAGATGGCCAGCAAAGGTGTCAGCTGCAATGACTATATGTAGTGGACACCTCCCCATCAGGACCTAAGGGCAAAATTTTGAAAAGTGACCAGTGATTTTGGGTGCCCAACTTGGGACACCTTAAAGGGGCCTGATATTCAGAGTGTGGGTGTTCAGACATTTCTAAAACTCCGGTTCTGTTCAGGTATCTCAAGTTAGGCACCGAAATCACTATTCACTTTTTAAAATCTTGGCCTAAAATCACCTACTCATTTCATACAGGTTCTGAACATCCACAAGATGGTTATGGATTTGAACAGTGTCAAACAAATAATAGCTCCATAAACTATTAATATTGCTCTTACAAAATAGTAAATTTATAACTTGCATTAAAAATAAGTATTACTGGAGACTGGCTTGTTCAATGGATTTATTGCTCATGTAGGTGTGTGTGTGTGTGTATATACATATACATTTTTATTGCTCTGTATATAATACACACACACTTACCTATAGTAACTACCCTTAAACACATGCAAAATTTCCCTGAAATAAATAGATAAGGTAACTTCAATATTTGCATTATTTCCTATACAGCACTTACTGTAGGGAAATGTTTAACATCCTTAATTAATGTTATCTAATGTAATTTCCAAGCTTTTAAGGGTGCCACTACATGTATGTGTAAAAGCACATACACAAATGCAGACTGTGTATTGTATGCATGTACAGTATATATGTATATACACAATCTGTGTGTGCATATATGTGCATTTTATATTTGCGCGCGCACACACACACACACAGTGTCTTTTAGCTATTCCATTGCCATCTTTTCAAAAGGAGTTCATAAAATCTTCATGTGATGGAGGAGTTTGGCTGGCGGAGCTTTCTTAGGTGATTTACAACAAGGTCAGCAATCCTTTTCACTCTAAGAAAATCATGCTGTAGGTTCAATAACATCCTGATAAAATATCCATGATACTGCTGAGCTTGGAAAAATCACAGGAAACATAAAACAACAACAAAGACTGGAAATGGTTAGTTTATCTTTTTTCATAGATGTTGGGAAAATCAACACATTCCTAAGCAAGAAAAAAATCAGCATGTCCATGTGAATGAAGGAAGAAATGAACTTCGTAAATGGAAGTCATATTAATAATTGTTTCCAATTTACCTTTCAGCGAGTCCGCCTTTAGTAAGACTTGAGATGATTATTGGATCAAAGGGCTCTTCAGTACCAGAAATTGTGATCCCAAGTGGACCACCATAACGCTTGAGCTCTACAGTGTAAATAATTGCTCCAGAACTCTCCTGTTCATCTGCAATAAATGCCAAGAGGACGCAATTGGTTTCTTATGAAAGAAGGAATGAAAAGAATAATACATTCAGACAAGTGACCGGAAATCAGACAGAGTATCCTCAAAGGATTACAGTTCAGATATAATTTTTATTCATTATTCCACTGGCTTATTTTATAAAACAAAAATAAGAGAATCGCTAATTTATTTTGCCTTTATGGCCAAAAGCCAGTCCCAATGAAGTAAATGGTGGATCTCCCATTCACTTCAGTGGAACCAGAATTTGATCCTTACGTATTAAAATCTTGATGTGTATGTTTTTTATACAAATGTAATTGGTAGGGAGGAGACACTTTGCTGTGGGGAGGGCCAAGACAATTTTTCTGTTAATTGGAGGAGATAGTAGGGGGGTTAAAACAGGAAGGAGTTGTGAGGAGGGAGAAGTTTGAGGTCTTCACAGTCTTAGTTGACCAAACATTTCCTTGAGTTGAGCAGCTTTTATTCATGTATTTATTTTTAAAAGAAAAATCTGATATTAGGTCAATGTTTTTGAAGGGCATGTTTTGAGTCTCAACTATTGATATAATTAAAAATAATTCCTGGCGTCTATGTATCAACAGACATCAAGCCAAACAATAAATTGACTAGGGTTATTTTCATGAAATCATTTGTACAACATCTTGGTTTTTTGTCTTAGCACACAATAATCATGGAATAAAGAGGAAAATGTTAATGAGTGACCAAAAATGGAGTTCTCTACACGTTACCCAAAAAGTGTCACAGCAAGAGAGCAATCAACTGTAATGCTTATAATTTGTGAGAGGAAATTTTTAAATCTTAAAGGTCAGATTATCCTAAAACCAAAATAACAAATGCTCACTTGCTCTTGTTTATGATATTGGTATTCACCTAGTGTGTTTGGCCTGTCAGGCATGCATTCTCAGATCTGTGGGTAATGACATTTTGAAATGGCTCAGTAGGCGCTGATAACCCTTAAGGTGCATATTCAGCAAACATTACCAGAACTAAACCTTGACAGGCTAGAGTTTTTAAATGTTCTGCTCATTTAAATCATAAAGTTTTAAAATAAAGAAGGAAATATGTGTCATGGCAAAGGTCCATGGAGAGAGTAGCTTTCTTCTAACACTGAACAATGCACTGTGTTAGAATAAGGGAAATGATATTTTCTTTAAAGCTATTCTGTCTCTGCTTTGCTGTAAAGCTACTGTCTAGAATCTTCATTAGTTCCCTTTTACCTAGCTTCCTGCTATAGATTTAAACAAACAATATATGTATCATCAAAGCAAAGCAAAGGCTTGTGTTGAGAGAAGAATTAGTAATGTATTCAGCAAAGAATTACTGCTGGTATATATGTCTTTCATATCTATCATGTACATTTGATTCCTAGCTGGGACACCTGTTAAATGGGTTCTGGCCCCCTCACATCTCCTATTGGATGCATTTTTCTTGCCACCTGATTTCCAGAAAGTCACCATCACGGACAAATAAATAACACCCAAGATCCAGCTGGAAGTGATCAATGGTCATGTGATGAGTTCGCACAAAACTGTTGCCACTTTAACAACAGAAAGGGCTGCAGACTCATTTGCAGAATGTTGGCAAAGTGCTTAGAGATCCCAGGCTTGAAAGAGCTACATAAATGTGGAACTTCAATAAAGAAGATGAACCGTATTGTTAAAACAATAACTAGCAAATGTTGGGTCAAACTGAAAATGCAGTAATTGGTATTTACTGGGTGTTGACAAAATACTGGTATGTCCAGTTATCAATAGTGAGGTGTAGTGCAAGAGTAAGCAGACATTAATCATATGATAACTAGTGTCTGCATCCTACAGAAGGTTTACAACTATTAAGGGATGATAAGAAAGGAGGCCAGTCTATTACCTGTTTGTTTTGCTCAGTTCTACTTAAGAAAATTAATGACAGCAGAACAGATTTAAAATTGCAGCATTACTTATCGTTAATGTTACTTTCAGACAACTTGAGTTCTGACTATTTAACAACATGAAAAGTATATGGCCTGAATTCATAATAATAGCTGGTTTTGCTGCCAAACGGAAGACCTAGATTTGTAAAGACTTTTCAGGGTTGCAGGTTCAGGTCAATAAAGGTGATGACAAACTTCAGGGTGAAAAGTTGGCAGGAAAAAACTAGTATAATTTCTTGGACTCAAGTGCGTATGTTACCCCATGGTAAAGAGGCTGAATCAAATTAGATCTAAACATATTAGGATTTCCTTAAGCTTGGTGAAATTTCCCCTTGTCTCTCACCTACTGATGCAACTTGTATCAAATGCAGAATCAAAGAATTATTACAAGTACTGTAGTGGCTTAATCAATCATAGAATATCTGGGTTGGAAGGGACCTCAGGAGGTCATCTAGTCCAACCCCTTGTTCAAAACAGGGCCAATCCCCAACTAAATCACCCCAGCCAGAGCTTTGTCAAGCCTGACCTTAAAAACCTCTAAGGAAGGAGATTTCACCACCTCCCTAGGTAACCCATTCCAGTGCTTCACCAGCCTCCTAGTGAAAAGGTTTTTCCTAATATCCAACCTAAACCTCCCCCACGGCAACTTGAGACCATTACTCCTTGTTCTGTCATTTACTACCACTGAGAACAGTCTAGATCCATCCTCTTTGGAACCCCCTTTCAGGTAGTTGAAAGCAGCTATCAAATCCCCCCTCATTCTTCTCTTCTGCAGACTAAATAATCCCCATTCCCTCAGCCTCTCCTCATAAGTCATGTGCTCCAGCCTCCTAATCATTTTTGCTGCCTTCCGCTGGATTCTTTCCAATTTTTCCACATCCTTCTTGTAGTGTGGGGCCCAAACCTGGACACAGTACTCCAGATGGGGATTGTTCCTGATTTGAGCAGGGGGTTGGACTAAATGACCTCCTGAGGTCCCTTCCAACCCTGATATTCTATAATTCTATGAGGCCTCACCAATGCCGAATAGAGGGGAATGATACGTCCCTCGATCTGCTGGCAATGCTCCTACTCATACAGCCCAAAATGTCATTAGCCTTCTTGGCAACAAGGGCACACTGTCGACTCATATCCAGCTCCTCGTCCACTGTAACCCCTAGGTCCTTTTCTGCAGAACTGCTGCCTCGCCACTCGGTCCTTAGTCTGTAGCAGTGCATGGGATTCTTCCGTCCTAAGTGCAGGACTCTGCACTTGTCCTCGTTGAACCTCATCAGATTTCTTTTGGCCCAATCCTCTAATTTGTCTATGTCCCTCTGTATCCTATTCCTATCCTCCAGCGTATCTACCACTCCTCCCAGTTTAGTGTCATCTGCAAACTTACTGAGGGTGCAATCCACCCTCCAGATCATTAATGAAGATATTAAACAAAACTGGCCCCAGGACCAACCCTTGGGGCACTTCGCTTGATACCAGCTGCCAACTAGACATGGAGCCATTGATCACTACCCATTGAGCCCGATGATCTAGCCAGCTTTCTATCCACCTTATAGTCCATTCATCCAGCCCATACTTCTTTAACTTGCTGGCAAGAATACTGTTAATGCTGCACTATCTCTGCTATATGTGCTGGTCTCTGTTCTGCAAAGTGATATTCGCTAAATACAGACTGGAGTGTGAAGCAGAAATACAACTGCAGAGCCCTATTAGCATGGATCACTTCACTAGTGACCTCACCACTTGGATTCGCTTTGAGGAGAGTGGCAGAAGGCAGGCAAACATTTTGTTTTGTTTGAAGAAGTAAGGGATAGGAGAAAAGGCAGGATAAAGACAAACAGAAGGGTGAAAGGTTTAAATAAAACTAAGATGAAGGTCTAATAATGCATACAAAGAAAAGAGTAACCAAATGAAAGAGAAAGAGAATGCAAATTGGAAGGAGAAAAACTGTATGGGGAAGAAAGAGTGTAAAAATAATTTGCAAAAATAGATGATTAAAAACAACCTTACAAGGAAGAAGAAGAGAAAAAACAACCCAACAATAACACAGTAATGAAGGATGGAGCAACAGAAGAATTTAAAAATAATCATTAAAAATCTTAGGGCTTGTCTATGCAGCGACATCCAGTAAAGTTAATCTGAATGAACAAAATTCTGAATTTGAAGTGGATGAGTTAAATCGCATTAAAATCCTCTATGAACACCCTTATTCAGAATTAAAAAGAGGCCTTCCAATTCCAACTTTGGTTTAGTTTAGTTCACTTCCAAAATGAATTAAGTTACATTGAAGTAAGGCCACTTTAATTCTGAATAACAGCATCAGCACAGGGATTTAATGAGGTTTAACGAGTCCTTTTCAAATTAACATGTTTAGTTCACTCAGACTATTTTTTCTGGAAGTCCCCATATAGACAAGCTCTCTATGTTACACTGTGGTATAGAAATCATTTTAGAGTGCCCTATGCTTACTCATCTATAAACATCAAGCTTCATTTCTCTTAGGGAACTTCTAATTAATGATCAATTTTATTGAGTTTAAAGGAACACCTTTGTTCCATGCAGCCCTAGTTGAGAGAAAATAATTAAATATTAAATATTAAATTCATTAAGATGGGTATTTTGTTTTACCTTTTGCCACCATTTTTCATAATGTTCCTTTTTGATTTCTTGGGATATTGACTGAAAGCCGCTTTTTAAAATTGTTAATCACAACATATACAGACTGGAACTCATTCACTTTTGTTTTAGTATAATCTACATAGAAAATTATGTTCACTATGTCTACAATCTGTCTCTGTACCTAAATTTGAATAGATTTGGTTACACAGAGTAGATAATAGATTAATTAAAACTTACTAATCATATTTGTTAGTCATGCAGTAAGACAATTTAATTTGTAGATACAATAAATGATTCTTGATTATATTCTAGGTATCATATTAATTTAGTCATAAAATTAAGAAACATTCATTTGCAAAAGTAACTTAGTAAGTAAGGGTCCTATTCAGACTAAAATATACACCATCTACCAGGGCACACAACTCCCAGAAGGCCACATATGCTGCCTCTGAGCAGACCTAGGGTGAAATCTTGGCTTCAATTAAATCAATAGCAAAATTCCTAGATTAGTTCTGGGACAACACCACACCTGAGAGTTGCAGGTAGGAGACAGGATCCAGTGCTGTTATAAATAGAACTAGGCGGGAAACAGTTTTCCTGTCTTGTGAAAATTTTTGAGATTTCAAATATTTTTCCCATTCTGCATCAGGACAAAAGAGAGACCTTACCAGAGAGGGGTGAGAGACAGACTGACCCACCCTAGTCTGGTGGTTAGGGCACTCATCAGGGGTGCGAGAGGCCCAGATTTAAGTTGATGTTCTGAATCAGGCAGTGCAGGGGATTGACCATTGTAATACTGGTTATTCTGGTGTGTCCCCACCCCTTTTGTTGTGACCAGAAATTCCATCCTGGATGCAAGAAATCTCCTCTAGGGAAGTTTTGTTGAAAATGATACATTTTAGTAAACAGTTTTAGTGTCAATGAATCGGCATTTTCTGAAGGAAAAAACATTTTGTCAAAAAATTTCTGACTCGCTCTAGTTTCTGACCTTTAAAAAACACAAGTTACTTGTGCGGGGAGAGTTCTTACACTTCCCATTGTTGAATGGAAACTCCTGCCCCTAATCACCTGCCTACAATGGTTGTGCCTCTCTTCCATTAGCTGTTTCACTGAGCTCTGTAAAGGAGGTGTCAGGTAGGCATCTCTTTGGGCCACATGATCCTTTATTTCCATAACTATCTGACATGAATTAGCCAGGCCAATCCCTCCCCCTCCCACATTAGGATGTCTGAGGATGTACTGAGTATGTTTAACCAGTTCCACATCCTCATGCTTATGAGCCTAATCACCATATATTGTAGGACAGAATTCAGTTTTAGCGATCATTTAGCTCACTGGATCCAAAGTTACTTTTCAAAAATCAATTTCTGCAGGTGCCGCCGGGTTTGCCCTTCATTAATACTGATCAGACCAGAAGTCATTTCTTTGCTGTTTTCAGCAATAGAAAAGAATTTAAGAACTTCCTTGCTGGCATTCAGCTACAGGACAAGAACATTATAGTGTGTGGGGTGCTAGTTTTAGTCAGTTATAACATATAATTTAGATTTAGCTACTTAGATTGCAAGCTGTTGCAACAGGGACCATGTTTTTGTTAGGTGTTTGTACAGTACCTAGCATAATGGGGTCCAGGACTGCGGCTCCCCTGGGTGCTACCAAAATACAAATAATTAATAATAATAACTATAATTGGACTGACCTGCTTTGGCATTAAAATGCCTAGCAGAACTCACTCTACTCTCAACATGATAGGGATTTGCTTCCATGAATATATGATTTGGGAAGTTTGCTGATTTATGGATCTGGATGTGGTAATTGACATAGTGTGCAAAATGGTGTTTGCCCCAATTCGCCCTTAGGGGCTGATCCTTCAATTTGCTAAGCACTCTGTTCCCAATCCAGCAAAGCATTTAAGCACAGGCTTAACTATAAGCGTGTGAGTAGACCTGCTTAAGTCAAATTTACGTGCTTAAAGTTAAGCATGGGTTTAAGTACTTTGCTGGATCAGGGTCATAGGCCTGATCAACAAAGGCACTAAGGCATTGTGTCATGATGCCAAGTGTTGCAATACCTATCTTTTAGGCACCTACAAACTAACAGGAACAACACTGTGATCTACAAAGCCAAGTTAGGAACCTAGGCTCCCTATACAATGGATGGGCAGAGATAGGTACCTATGAACATGATCCACAAAAGCCAGCATGCTAGCTAGGGAGCCGCCTAAGCTAGCCAGCAGGAGATGCCAAGGAAAGGGGTGTGTCCTAAGCCCTCTCCTCTCCTGGGGATGGCGCCTAAGTCCAGAGTGCAGGGAGGCAGCTAGTGTTCCACAGCTGGGGACCCCTCTCCTGAAGTCAGGTGGTTTAGGCGCCTAAGTAATTTCTTGTGAGGATGAGTTAGGTGCCTGCCTCACTCCACACAAAATGGGGGGAAGAAGAGGAACATGAGGTGGTGATGGTAGCACCACCACCACCCACCTTATAACTTTTAGACCAGCGGTTAGAGCACTCCCCTGCTCAGGTTGAACTCCCCGCTCTGCCTGAGGCAGAATGGGTTTGGAACTGGGGTCTCCCATCTCTCAGGAGGGTACTCTAACCACTGGGCTATGGGATAGTCTGACGTGGGATTCCCTCTCTCACTCCTGTTGAGGTTGTTCCACTTTGGCTAAATTATTAAGTAGTTAATGACTTTCCAATGACACTCTCCTGAGAGGTGAGAGACGCCTAGTTCAACCCCTTTCTCCCGCTGAGGCAGAGGGGAATTGAACCTGGATTTCCCACATTGCAGGTGAGTGCTCTAATCATTGGGCTAAAAGTCATACAGTAGGCACCTCTTGCTCTACCACCTCCTCCTCCAGCCAAATTTTGAATGGGACTCAATCTGGTAGGCAGCTTCTGAGTCCCATAGGCGAGACAGGCACTGCTTCACTTATCTTCTCCTGGTTCATGGGTCGCTTTGGGCCTCAGGTGAGAGGTAGGCATCCAGGTGTCTAGAGTGAGGCAGCAGTGTGCATGCCCAGAGGCAAAAACATAGTAATCTAGAGAACTTTTATGCTGAACATTTCAGTGCCAAGTTTAGACGCCTACAGTGTTTGGTGGCAGCCGAGTGGAAGATTTGTGGATCGCAGCAGTGCCTAAAACTGGGATTTAGGTTCCTAAGAACCTTTGTGGATCTGGGCCAGAGTGTTCAGCATCTTGCAGGATCAGACCCTAAATCAGGATTCCACTTTGTGCATCTCCGGTCCTTGGAACAGGGAAGACTTACATGGTCACATAAGGGCAAAATCAACATTATGTGACTGCATCTGAGGGGGAAAGTATCTCCTTGGAATACAGAGTAACTTCTACTACTGCAAAACCCCTGTAAGTAATATAGCCATGGAGACAATTTTAGACGGTATAAAGCCCTGTGTTTACTTTTATTCTGAACATCTTTAACTGACATTAATAAATATAAGCCAAATTTAACACATTTTTTTAACTGCACTCTACAAACACAATAATAATCCTATGCTCTAAAAGACATGAAAGTGCATGTAACTATGTCACCATTCATACCGGAGTTATCTTCATCTTTGCGGATCTTTAGTTTTACAAGGTCCTCACAGTGTTGAAGGATCTGAACAGCATCTTCCATGGAGCAGTTGTCCAGTCGAATGTTATCTATAGCAAGCAGTTTATCACCAAGTTCTAGCGTTCCAGTTCTGTTAACAAATGAACGTTACATGATTAATTAGTAACATATAAATATGCTATTTAAAGTAGTGTTAACTCTCATGTACCATTCAAATGGATTTTTAATTATTTTGAAAAAAAATAATACATCTTTTTCATCTTGGTTTTGGATGACAATCATTAGTTTTAATTAATATTAAAAACATATTATTTATTCCTCCAGTAAACTGATTCAATTGATTTGGAAACTTAACAGACCATAGAACTCTTGTAAGAGAGTTTCTATGTGCACAGAAGTTACATGGGGCACAAGCTGAAGGCAACAGACTTTCCCTGAAAGTTTGAAAGATCTCACCTGTGAGCAACACTTCCTTTCTTTATATCAGAAATAACAAGGGGGTCCCCTGGTTTTCTACTGGATGGAGCTGCAATAAAGAACACACACATATATACAATTTAGATAGATAGATAGATATACTACCTGAAATATACATAACATACACTCATAAATTACACACACAAAAACTAAATTAAAAGACGATGCGAAATCAAGCAGCCAAGAGTTAGGAAATGCCATATTAAGGTTGCCTATGCAACCTTAATTTAGTCCCATTGTGCATACGCATTACGATTGAGGCCAGCCCTACACTTGGAAGACTTTGCTGGTATAGCTATATCAGCTATACCAGCAAAGTGATCCTAGTGTGGAAGCAGTTTATATCAGCAAAACTGTGCTTTTGCCAGAATAGCTTATTCCAGCCCCTCTCCCCCCCAAAAAACTACACAGGTAAAAGCTCAGTTTTGCTGATATTACTGTGTCTACACCAGGTGCTTTTGTGGTACAGCTATGCTGGTCACAAATCACACCTTATCATATCCTGGGACCTGGCTGATATAGCTATGCTGGCAGATGTCTGTAGTCTAGGAAATAATGGCCACAGTCTAGAATTATATAATCACATTCTATTTGACCACCTGTGAAAAGTCTGGTTTAAGTGACTTGCCCAGCATCACATAGGAACTCAGTGGCAAAGCAGGGATAGAATCCAGTTTTCTGGGACAGCATTCAGCTGCCTTAACTATGAGACCATCTCCTCTCTCTTCCTGCAATTCACTGCCTCAATCATTACACATCGCCCAACTTCAGTAACAAATGAACCAGGGGTACTACAGACCATCTCCTTCACTACACAACCCTGATTCAACCCCAGAGCAACTCTAACTTGTGCAAATAATAGTATGTGATCATATAATTAAAGACTGTATCATAATGCAAACACACAAGGGGGCATTTCCTAACTATTGAGTGCTTGACTTTGCAACCTTAATGTTCTTTTAACAGTTTTTGTGTGTGTAATTTCCTACATTTTTAAAAAAGGAAACTGAAAAAAAATTCCACCATGTGGCATCATATTGACACCCACATTTGTCATCAACAGGGTTGCAACCTTTAGATTCACCACACAGACCTCTGCCACTTGAGCTAAAGGAGTAACTGATAGCAGTAGTAGATTGTCATCATCTATGTGGACCAGCACCAGAGGCGAAAATCTCTACTGAGCATGTGTGATTTTTCAAAGGCTTATAATTTGGCCAGACTTAGGCAGATTTTCATGGAGATGGCCAAAGGCAAATCCCTGACACAAAGGCCACCCCTGGCCAAATTTCAAGTCCCTGTTCCAAATCATGGGGACGCTAGAGGATTTCAAAGCAAAAAAATTGCCAGCATTTTTTAACATGGGTAAAACACTGTATTTTCCCCTAGCATTGTTCTTGGAACCAGCTGAACTGTCCTGGCTGGACTTCTCCCAAAAAAGGCAGATGCCTGGCATGGAGAATTTCAGCCCAAATGGTTACAGAATGGCAAAGTTATAAGCAATTAAAAGCAGGGTCTTATAATGGGAAGTGTCAGGTAACTTTAAAAGTATGTGATACTACCAGCCCCTCTTTTAATAATTATTTAATACATAAATCAATCTTAGATTAAGCTTATATTCTAAAACTGATTTGGGGATGTCTTTGTCACCAAATAATTTTGATGAGGTTAATATCTAGGACCCTATCTCGCCTTTGGATCTTAACGCCTGTGCAGAGTCCCAGTGAAATCATTGGGCCTCCAGATGGGAACAAGGGACTTCCCATGTGGATCCGATTGCTAGATTATTGTAGCAAACATACTGATGGGATCTGCAAAAAGAAAACATGAAAACACCACACTATTTTACTATTGCTTTTTCTGTATTTTGCTCCATAAGGAAATTTAGCTCTATTTTTGAAACTTCATGCTTAGTATATTCCTTTGTATGTAGCTATTGAGATCCCTGCACAGTGAGAGCCCTTACACCAGAGATGGGCAAACTATGGCCCGCGGGCCACATCCGGCCTGTGGGACCATCCTGCCCGGACCCTGAGCTTCTGGCCCGGGAGGCTAGTCCCCGGCCCCTACCCTGCTGTCCCCCCACCCCCGCAGCCTCTGTGCGCTGCGCTGCCAGCGCTCTGGCCTGCCGCTCCTGCTAGGCAGCGCGGCTGCGTGGCTGGCTCCGGCATGGTAAGGGGGCGGGGAGCGGGGGCAGTCAGGGACAGGGAGCAGGGGGCGGTTGGATGGGGCGGAGGTTCGGGGGGGGGCGGTCAGGGGACGGGAATGGGGGCGGGGATTGGATAGGCATGGGAGTCCCAGGGGGCCTGTGAGGGGGTGGGGGTGTGGATAGGGGGTCGGGGCAGTCAGGGAGCAGGGGGATTTGGCTAGGGGGTGGGGTCCCTGGAGGGCGGCTGGGGCAGGGGGTCCGGGAGGGGGCGATCAGGGGACAAGGAGCAGGGGGGTTGGATGGGTTGGGAGTTCTGAGGGGGGCAGTCAGGGGGCGGGAAGTGGGAGGGGGGTGGATGGGGGGGCAGGCTGTTTGGGGAGGCACAGCCTTCCCTACCCAGCCCTCCATACAGTTTTGCAACCCCGATGTGGCCCTCAGGCCAAAAAGTTTGCCCACCCCTGCCTTACACACTCTGTATTCTGAACTAGGAGAGCGTGTTCTGAACTTGAAGGGTGCATAAAAGTGCAAAAAAAGGTACAGATGGTAAGTTCAGTGCTGAGGCTGAAATTCTGCTTTTAGTCCACTTTAAAATAAAATAAACTGATTAATACTTTGTATTTGTAATAATCATGTGTGAATTTCCTTTGATTTTTTTACACTCATTTAATATTCCAGAGAGGAAGACTGTGGTTAAGATACTGGCCTGGGACTCTGGAGATCTGGGCTCAATTTCTGGCTCTGCCGCTGTAATAAATAAAGTGGGGGGATAGCTCCCTTTGATGGACACCCAGCCAGCCAGTTAGCTGTAAAATCCCTCCTGGTAGCTGTTCTTTACTTGCTTTACCTGTAAAGGGTTAAAAAGTCCCCCAGGTAAAGAAAAAAAGTGGGCACCTGACCTCATAGCGTTCCCAGACCCTCCTTAAAACCTAAAGTATTCCATGTTAATTCTCTAAAGCCCTTTTACTCCCGAGAAATCAAGGTTCTTCAGTTTACAGCCCAGGAGAGAGACGACGCTGAGTGGCCTGAAGGAGTCTACTATGACGGAAAAAACAACGGTGGCGTGGAAGAGGTGAGCCTTTCCATGACCCTTGGGCGTAAGCAGCGACAGCAAATCCAGGAGCTGTGCACCAGCTTCGCGCCAATGTTTTCAGCCACCCCAGGACGGATAGAACGGGCGTACCACTCCATTGACACAGGTGATGCTCGCCCAATTAGAGCCCAACCCTACCGGATGGCTCCTCAAGGCAAAACCACAATAGAAAGGGAGATCAAGGACATGTTACAGATGGGTGTAATCTGCCCCTCTGAGAGTGCATGGGCCTCTCCAGTGGTTCTGGTTCCCAAACCAGATGGGGAAATCTGCTTTTGTGTGGACTACCGAAAGCTAAATGCTGTAACTCGCCCAGAAAACTATCCAATGCCACGCACAGATGAGCTATTGAAGAAACTGGGACGTGCCCAGTTCATCTCTACTTTAGACTTAACTAAGGGGTACTGACAAGTGCTGCTAGATGACCCCGCCAAGGAAAGGTCAACTTTCATCACCCATGTAGGGCTGTATGAATTTAATGTGCTCCCTTTCAGACTGCGAAATGCACCCACCACATTCCAGAAACTGGTAGATAACCTTCTGGCTGGATTTGGGGTATTTGAAGTTGTCTACCTCGACGATGTGGCTATATTCTCAGATTCATGGGCAGAACACCTGGAACACCTCCAAGCTGTCTTCCAGCGCATAAGGGAGGCAGGATTAACTGTTAAGACCAAAAAGTGTCAAATAGGCCTAAACAGGGTAACGTACCTTGGACACCAGGTGGGTCAAGGAACTATGAACCCCCTACAGGCTAAGGTAAATGCTATCCAAAATTGGCCTGTTCCTAAGTCAAAGAAACAGGTCCAATCCTTCTTGGGCTTGGCCGGGTATTACGGAGGATTTGTACCACACTACAGACAAATTGCCACCCCACTGACAGACCTGACCAGGAAAAAGCAGCCAAATGCCATTCAGTGGACTGAAAAGTGTCAGAAAGCCTTTAACCAGCTTAAGGCGGCCCTTACGTCTGACCCTGTACTGAGGGCCCCGGACTTCAACCAACCATTCGTTGTAACCACAGATGCATCCGAACGTGGTGTGGGAGCAGTTTTAATGCAGGAGGGACCAGATCAACAATTCCATCCTGTCGTGTTTCTCAGCAAAAAAACTTTCTGAGAGGGAAAGCCACTGGTCAGTTTCAGAAAAATAATGTTACGCCATTGTGTATGCTCTGGAAAAGCTACGCCCCTACATTTGGGGACAGCGGTTCCACCTGCAGACTGACCATGCTGCACTGAAGTGGCTTCACACAGTCAAAGAGACTAACAAAGAACTTCTTCGGTGGAGTTTAGCTCTTCAAGACTTTGATTTTGAAATACAACACATTTCAGGAGCCTCTAACAAAGTGGCTGATGCACTCTCCCGAGAAGGTTTCCCAGAATCAGCCGGGTAAAAATGTCCCTGTATTCTAAGTCATTGTAGTCCTTGAAATGTAAAAAGTACTGTTTAGTTCTTAGTAATTAGTAGTAAAATTATGAGTAAAAATTATTAATAAAATTAGTATGTATCTTATTAACTCTATTTCCTAAACCTCCAGTAAGAAATCCCAGCCGGTGTGGACCTGACCTGAACCAGGCTGGCCAGCACCGTCTGTGATTTGGGGGGCATGTAATAAATAAAGGAGGGGGGGATAGCTCCCTTTGATGGACACTCAGCCAGCCAGTTAGCTGTAAAATCCCTCCTGGTATCTGTTCTTTACTTGCTTTACCTGTAAAGGGTTAAAAAGTCCCCCAGGCAAAGAAAAAAAAGGGGCACCTGACCAAAAGAGCCAATGGGAAGGTAGAACTTTTTAAAATTGGGAAAGAAA